GTGGGGCCGTCATGCCCGAGGATCGTTTTGCATGTGGGGAGAAGCGGCAGCAGAAGAATGAATTTGCATTTCTCAATGGCACCCAGTGTGGGAACCAAAGCCGCCGAGGGTTCCGCTGCCGCTCGGCCCCGCAGCGGGGCTGTGTGAAAAGACAACATCCCGTCCGCTGGCACCGGGCCCGGCCCGTCTCACCTGGCTGCCCGTGTGTTCCTGGGAACCGCCACGGGCAGGGGGAGCGGAGCCCCTGCCCCGCTGCCCTCCGTGCCAGCAGCGGGTGACAGTGACCAAACAGCAGCACGGTGCCTCTGTGGGTTCTTTTGGGGGGTTCTGGATTTAGGTTCGTGCTCTGATGTAGCCCAGGCCAGGATCCTTCCCCTCCTCTGCACCCCAAATCTCCGGGGATGATGTGGGGGGAGCCGTGACCTTTCCTCACCCTGCGGCGAGCGGGGTGTGCCCACACCACCCTGAGCCCTCTCTTCCTGGCACCGCCGGGCGACCCGCAACCATTTCCAGGCTTTTAATCCCAAGAGACAAAAGCAGGAGTTTAATGCCACCGGAGGAAGAAAAGGAGAGGGCTTTGGGAAGGGAACAGCAAACACGGCGCTGGATCCGCTGCTCCCTGCCTGCCTGGTGTCCCACGAGGTCCCTGCGTCACCCGGGGTGGCACTGGGGGGGAGCCGGGGTGGGAATGTGGGGAGCTGGTGGTCCAGTGCCTTCATCCTCCTCCCCCAGCTCCTCCTTCCCCTGCTGCCCTCCCAGGCACGGCCAGGCTGCAGAAGTGGGACTGTGGCAGCCCAGAGACAGACCGGGTCACCTCCTGCCACCACAGCTGCCAAGGAAACTCTGAAAGGTGCCAGGTGACCACCGAGGTCTCTGTGCTCACAAAGGGGTGGCTCCTGGACCCCTGGTGGAGGGGACACCAGCCCGTGCTGCTGGATGGAGGTGACTTCTGCAACTCCCCTTTGCAGGCTCCTGGGCTGCCCTGGAACGCAGGTGGCACCACGCAGTGGCACGGGGACAACCGGGAGCCACCCGGTGAGGTTCTCCCCCTCACCAGCCCCCCAACAACCAGGAGCCACCCGGTGAGGTTCTCCCCCTCACCAGCCCCCTGAATAATCAGGAACCACCCAGTGAGGTTCTTCCCCTCACCAGCCCCCCAACAACCAGGAGCCACCCGGTGAGGTTCTCCCCCTCACCAGCCCCCCAAGAATAATCAGGCTAGCTCAGATATCAGAGGCTGTGAGGGGAGGAATATCAGGAGAAGGTGAAGATTTCCAAAAGAGGCTCTTACCCCAAGATAAGTTGGTACAGCTCTCTTTATTCTGTGTTGTCCATGTGGAGAGCGGGGCAAAAGGGGACAAACAAGAAATGTCAGGGGTCTATATAGACTTTGGACAGGGTGGGCTTCCCTGGCTCTCTGTTGGGGCAAGAAGGAGGGTCCAGGGTTATCTGATCAGAGTCACAGGGTCCTGGGGAAGGGGGCACAGGGTCCCATGAGCTCAGTGGAACCCCCCGGCACAGCGGGGATGGAGCGTGGGAGCAGCGGGCAGGAGCTGGGGCAGGAGCCGGGGCAGGAGCCGGGACAGGCTCCGGGCAGGGACCGAGTGGCGGGGCAGGGTTGGGAGCCCCGGCCCCGTGTCAGGGTGTCCTCGGGCGGGGGCCACGGCAATAACTCGGCTGTTTGCCCCGAGCACACACACAGCCCCGTAAACAGCGTTATGGCAGCAGCTGGGAGATGGGGGAGCCGCAGGGGTAATAAAGAGGATAAAGAGGAGCGGCCCCGCTCGCCTGGGGCTGCACGGGAAGTGGGTAGGTCTGGCTGGGAGAAGGAGGGCTCAGAGGGGATTCTGGTGGTCTGGGCTCTCAGTTTGGGAGCTCTGGATGCTCTCCCAGGTTAATCTGCACAGGGGCTTTGCACCATCCAGAGCAGCGTCCCCTCCGTGCATACCCCGACCCTCTGGGTAATTCTGGGCTCTGCTGGAGAGACCTTCTCCCCTCCCAGGACCCCTCCAAGGCGTGGGGAGAATGCATTAAAGGTACTTCAACCATTTCAACCATTTCCAGTTTCCTTGAGCTACAAAAAAGCCTCAGAGCGCCCATGCTGCAGCCTGGCAGTGAGGATTCACCCTGTCCCATCGCTGCCCTGTGCACAGACATGGGTGCAGCGTGTGGCCTCTCAGAGGGACTCTGGCTCTCCTCAGGGGCCACCACTGTCCCAAAAGTGGTGCAGGAGCTGGAGCAGAGGAAGCTCCAACCCTGCAGGAGACCAGGAAGCAGCAGCTGCGTGTGGGGCCAGCTCAGGCTCCATGCTCTCTGTGGTTTGTACAGTGACATCAAGGGCCTTCAATAGTTTTATTATATGTGCCATGGCTGCTTATCTATTATTTTTGTGATGCAGCCAGAGATTAGCTCCAGGCAGGTGGGCAGAGATTCCTCCAGGCTGATTCATGAGTCGTTTCTCCATCTCTCCCCTCCAGCCACGTTCCCAAGCGCTGAAGTTTCAGCAGTGGCAAAAGACACCGGAATCGGAGCTGATGGGTTGACAGGGAGGACAAGGAAAAAGTACCCAAAACTGTGCACCCAGGGCAGAAAAGCCAGACTTAATTTCCCTCTTTGATTGTTCCTCAGGTGTTGCAATCTCTCCTTTTCCTGGTTTGCATGTGCAAGCAGAGCTGTGCCGAGCTGCGATTGCGAAAGGTGTCGGGAGAGCCCAGCGTGGCACAGCTGGACCCACGGAAACTGGTGACACTGGTGACACTGGGTGGCTCCAGCCCCGAGCCCTCTGGGGGGGGAGCAGAGGTCTCATTTTGGGGCCTTTCACCCAGTTCCCAGCGCTGTGCTGCACTGCCCAGCTCTCTCTGAGCCCAGAAAAGCAAATGTTTTTCCCTTTAATCTCTTTCTGTTATCGAGATCCCGCTGCTGCCGATAAGAGAAGTGGGTAAAGCTCTTTCAGACTGAGGTGTGAGTTTGGTAACAGGTCCCAGACAGCCCAGGATGACCCGGGTCTGGATGCTCTGGATCTGGGACTGGGAGCTCCCCACGGTTTGGTGACATCTGACACTGTCCAGTGTCCCCAGCTGTGCTCTCTTCCGCTTTCTTCTGACTCCTGGTGCTCTGGCCTGGTGTTTGCTCTGGTGAAAAGCTGTAAAGAAGCCAAATCAGCACAGGTGACCTGGTGGTGGTGTCACAGCTGCTCCACTTGCCCAGCCCAGCAAACCAAGCCCTGCTCACCAGACATCCCCCAAGGCACAGCGGGCACAGCAGCGGGCACAGGAAGGGCGGGATGGCCACGGTGCTTTCCCAGCATGGCTGGTGTGAGTTTACACCTGACTCCTCTCTGCATCTGCAGTTCCCACAGCCCCACTCGTGTTTCTGCGCTGTGGGGAAGGGATCTGTGCTTGCAGAGCTGCGCTCCAGGGCTCTGCTGGGATGTTCTGCTCTGGGTGCTCTGAGCTGTGACACCAGAGCAGCTTTGGGTGCTGTGGGGCCTTTTCCAATGCAGTGGATGCCCTGAGTGGGCTGCAGAGCTCTGCTGTGGCTGCCAGGGGCTCTGGGAGGGCACTGGGGGCCTGGACCTCCTCCTGGCTGTGCCACATCCCATCAAACATGCCCAACCCCTGGCAAAGCCCAGGCAGGGACTGGTGACTTCCCAACACAGCTGCTTGTCCCGGGGTTCCCCCACAGCCACTTCCACGTGTCCCAGGCCCAGTTGTGTTTACCAAAACAGGGAAAAACAGAACTCCCCTGGGACACGGGAGCCCTGGTCCAGGGGGAGCTTTCCCCACGATAAGATAACATTGAGGCCTTTCAAAGGGAGGCAGAAACTCCTGGCGCTGCCCGGGGTCTCCTTTCTCCAGGGTTTTCATTTCCTCAGGGCAAACATTTCCGATGGATGGCTTATCGATGGATGGCTTATCGATGGATGGCTTATCAGCTGTGCCTGCCCCGGGCCAGGGCAGGAGGGATGCCAGCTCTGTCCCCGCTGTGTGTGCTGGGGACAGCCACGTGCCCGCCGGGCCCTGGTGACGTGGGGCCAGCCTGTGGCTGTTTGTGGCGGGGTTTGGTCTGACGTGGGTTTTTAGGGCACGGGGGAGTTTGGTTTTGGCAGTGCTACGTGCGCAGGAGAGCTGCCTGAACTGCCCTGCCTGCTTGATGTGCTTAAAAAAAAAGACAATAAATTCCAGCTCAGTGTCTGTCTCGCTCAGAACTGCTTTTTCCTGCTCATACTGGTGGAGACAACCTGGGCCTGGAGCTCAGCACGTTCTGGCTGTGCCCCCGTGCCCCATCCTGCTGTCACAGACCCCCGGGCAGGGGACAGAGGGGACAGAGCTGTGGCCCTGAGCTGGCAGGGTTTGGGTGCTGTCAGGGGTTCCTTTCACCCCCAGTGTCTCTGTTCCCTCAGGGGCTCCATCCCTGGCTGCAGCACTTGGGCAGGGGGTGGTTCTGGGGCTCGGCTCGGGGATGCTCTTGGCCCCAGCGTGGCCCAGGAGTGATGTGGTGCCATGGAGCTCACACACCCACAGCTCCCTTTCCTGCAGGAGCGGCCAGGTGTCTGTCTGTCCCTGTCCCTGTCTCTGTCACCCCCATCTGAGGGTGGGAAGGGGTTAACAGTGCCAGGCTTTGCCCCACTCCCCTCCCAAGCCCCGTTCTGGTCCGAGCCCGCCCTGGTCTCACCCGCCAAGGGTTAACCCGGCCCGGGCTGTTCAAACACCTCGGCTGAGGTAAGCGCCGCTTGTTTGTTCAGGTAAATAAGGAAGGAATCGGATATAATGGGCAAAGGAGGCTCTGGCTGAGCCCTGACACTCACTGCCAGTTTCGTTCCCCCTGCTGGCCCCGGAGCCCCGCGGGGTGCCCGGTTCTCCCCGCCGGTGCCCACCGGGACCGATGCCCGGGGGCCGGCGCTGAACCGGGCTCGGTGCTGCGGGACCGGGGCTGGGACAGCACACCTGGGACCGGGATAACCGCACCTGGGGCTGGGACACCGCACCCGGGACCGGGACAGCTCACCTGGGACCGGGACAGCTCACCCGGGACCGGGATAACCGCACCTGGCCCGGGACAGCTCACCTGGGACCGGGACAGCTCACCTGGGACCGGGATAACCGCACCCGGGACCGGGACACCGCACCCGGGACCGGGATAACCGCACCTGGGGCTGGGACACCGCACCTGGCCCGGGACAGCTCACCTGGGGCCGGGACAGCTCACCTGGACCGGGACACCGCACCCGGGGCCATGTCCCCCGCAGCCACCGCGCCCAGCGCCGCGGGGACGGCTCTTCCCACCCTGCGCTGGCATCCATGCGGCTTCTGAGCCCGCACACCCTCCAGGTAAGGCTCCCGCCACCCCCCGTGCTCCCCCAGCACCCCCCCAGCCCACCTTCCCTCCCTGCAGGGCTCTTGGCACCAGGCCGGGGTGGGCACGGTGCTGTCCCGTGTTGGAATGCCACCCTGGTGTCACCCAAAATCAAACGGGATTTGCCGTTCTTGTGTCTTCACAACCTCCTCCTGCTCAAGCAAGGAGGGTGGGTTGGGGACAGGACTTCTGGGGCCAGCTCCTTCTGAGCCCACCTGGTGACAGCTGGGACACCCAGGGTGCCACCAGCCCCTGTGCCGGGCAGGGGACACCGAGCTCTGGGGCACCGTGTGACAAACCAGCAGCTGGGACCCTTATGGAGTGTCCTGGGGGGCTGTTGAGGAGTTTCCAGCTCTGGGGTGTCTCTGTGAAGCTGAACCCCTTTTCCAGACCTGCCCTGGCCCGGGTGCTTTCCTGCTGGGGTGGGTTTTTTTTGTCAGCCCTGAAGCCACTTTGGCTGCGGGTTTGGTTCTCGTGGTTCTGCTCGGTTAGTGAAACACAAACACGGTGAGGGTGCCAAATGCCCACAATAGCGGTGTTCTCTGGGGCTGGGAGCACGGGGGGGAAGGTGCTGCTATAAATAGGGGCTCCCTGGCCCCAAATGGGGAACACCAAGCTCTGCTGCTCCCCGGGGGCACAGCGAGCACCAGGCTGTGCTCGGGTCACTGCTGGGTGGTGCCTGTCCCTTGGCACTGCTCTGCCTCCCTGTGCTGATGGAGAGGGCAGCCTGACCCAGGGCGTGGGGACCCTGGGGACACCCGCTCCCCGTGCCAGCAGCCATGCAGCTAATGGCAGGAGGAGCCAGGGCACCTCGGGGGTGTTGGAGGAGGCTGGTGGGGAGCCAAGGGGCTGCATCCCCCCAGGGGTACATCAGAGCGAGCCTGGGGCTTGCCCTGGCCCCAGCCTGTCACCATGCAGGGACAGAACCAGCCCCCCGGGCTGTCACCTCCTCAGCCCCCCGCTCTGTCACCTCCCCAGTCCCTGCCCTGGCTCTGGGGAGGTTTTGGCCAATCCTCCTTCCTCCACCCAGAGATAAGAAGGGTGCGTGGCACAGGGTTTGGCAGCAGGACGTGGCACAGCACAGCTGTCACTCTGGGCCTTGCAGGGTGCATGGGACATGCTGGCAGGACCTGTCAGCAGCTTCTGAGCACCCACCTGAGCTCCTGCTGCAGCCCTGGCTTTGCAGGGACCCCAAATCTCTTTTCCTGCTTAATCCAGGCTGCTCTGGGACAGCTCTGGGTCCTGCACATCCCCCGTTCCTGCTGGGCCAGCACAGCACAGCACATCCCTGTCCCCAGCCTGGGGCTGAGGTGACCCTGGAGCCTGGCCCTGCTCCCTCACTCACTGCCTGGGAAGGTTTCGGAAGCGCCCGGGGGTTTGGGACTCATCCCGGGTGCTGTGGGCAGCGCCCCTCCCGCAGCGGGGCCAACCCCCCCCCCCCCCCCCCCGGTCCCGGCACAACCTGTTCCACCGCTGATTGGATTTTAATTAACGGACCCATTGTTCGAGGCTGGGGGGTGGGTGAATTTCTTTTTTCTTTTTTTTTTGCTCTCACTCTCAAGGGCCCATCCCAGTGTTCCACCCTGAGCCATGGTGGGTTGCACTTGGTGGCACGGGGGTCCTTGGCCCCATGGTTGTCCCCCTGGCTGTGGGGTCTGTGTGGGGCTGGGTCCCTGCAGGCCTGTGGAGCTGAGCCAGCAGCACCCACAGCCCCGGGTTGGGCTGGCTCTGTGCCCTGGGAAGTGCAGGAGCCCCATTCCTGTCCCAGCCCCCCATCCCAGCCCCATTGGAGCTGCCAAGGCTGATGCAATGAGCGGCTCAGCCTCGCTCAGCTCAGCTCAAACGGGAAAGGTTCTGGGTGCCCTGTGGGCCTGTGCACCTGGGGCTGCTCCTCCAGCTCTCCTTCTCCAGGGAAATGCAAAAAGGGGTTGGGGAAGAGGGGGGAAAGGCCACCTGAAGGGGCTTCTCAGCACAAACAGGTCCCACCCAGTGCCAGAGCAGGAGAAAGTCAAACAGCCTCCCCCACCCTGAGAGTACAGCCCTCGCTGGGGCACAGCTCAGGTTTTTGGGGACAATTCCCAAGGGATTGGGTCCCTCTGGTCCCTGCTGGGAGGAGGGGAACAGGATGAGGGTGAAGATGGAGCTGGGGCCATCCATCCCGTGGCGTTCCATAGCGCTGCTCCCCGTGGGTGAGGATGAACCGTGACCTCAGAACATCCCAGAGGCGCTGGGAATGAAGGACCCATCCCCTCCCCAGACACCCCCACGGCCAGCAGGAGCTGCACAAGCTGTTACCACTTCTCCTTTGTGCTGGGAGCAGCGTGAGGTTGGATTTAGGGCTGATCTCCTAAAGCTCTTCTTTTAATCCCGAGCAAATCAAGGAGAGGTTTGGAAGCAGGCACCATCTCTCAGGGAAACCGTTTGGAAACCAGAAGAGGGTTTGGGGACCCTCTTCTCCCGCCTCCTCCTTGCTGTGGTGCCACCAAAACCTCTCAGGGATGTGGGTTCCAGCTCCTGAACCCACAATCCCTGCCCAGCTCCCCACGGGCTGAGGCTGCCATGGTGCTGTTTAGGTGTCCCTGGCTCTTCCATGGTTTATTCTGAGCTCTTCAGGCCATTCCAAAGATGAAGTGATGAGTTTCCACCAAGTGCAGGCAATGCAGAACTTCAAAACCCATATTCCTGGGAGCACTGAATCCTCAGGAACCCACTCAATCCCCCCCTGAGCATGGGACACGGGGCTGTGTCCTCATTGTCCCTCCTTCAGTGACCACCCCCGTGCCTGGAGAACACTGTGGGACCTTTTCCTCTCATTTCTTTTAAACCTTTCCCCCCCAGCTGGGGTTTGGAGCAGCAGGGCACCCCCTTTCCCTGGGCACTGCCCCCTGCTCCCCTTCAGGGCTGCCTGAGGGGTTTCAAACTTTGCACGCTCCTTTCCCAGTGCCAGCTCCATTGCTAAAGCTCCTTTTTCTGCTTTTAAACCACCAATTTGAAATGGTTCTTCTTGTAAAATGCAATGCTGAAGGTGGAGGAGCTGGGCAGTGCCCTGGCCATGCCCATCAACAGCTTCCCCCGGCAGAGGTTTGCCCTTTCCAAAGTCTCTGGATGGTTTTTGGGGAGGTTTCTCCACGGATGGAGCCATTCCCTGGTGTTGCCATGGAAATTCAGCAGGTTCATCCTCTTCTCCATGGCCTCCAGGACTCTGTGCATGCAGAGACAGATGGGGACAGGCTGATTTGGGGTAGTTTTCCTTGCAGGAGAGTGGAGGTAATTGCAATTATCGGGTCTTACAAGGAAAGTTCCTATCTGGGGGTTGGCAACAGCGCCCAAGGGCCGTGTGCTGGGCTTGGTCCCTCCTGGGAGGTTTGGGGGCTCTTGTGCCTCAGGTGGAAGCAGCAGAGGATGTTTTCCATGCTCAGAAAAGTGTCCCTGCAGCTCAAGCACCCGTTGTCACCCCAGGGCTGTCCCATACAGGTGCTGGGGATCCCCCCCAATGTCCCCCACTGCCTCCCATCGAGGCCTCAGCTCCACATGGGACTGAGCTGCTGCCAGACCCCAAACACCCAGACCCCAAACTCCCAGACCCCAAACACCCAGACCCCAAACACACAGACCCTAAACACCCAGACCCCAAACTCCCAGACCCCAAACACCCAGACCCCAAACACCCAGACCCAGGGCTCAGACCCCAAACACCCAGACCCCAAACACCCAGACCCCAAATACCCAGACCCAGGGCTCAGATCCCAAACACTCAGGCCCCAAACCCCCAGCCCCAGGGCTCAGACCCCGCTCATCTCCTGAGCTCCTTCTCCCTGCTGGCTGCTGCTGCTGTTGGTCCTCCCAAAGTGGTGACAGCCCCCCCGGCCACGCTGACCCCACAGCTCACGGGGCACAGTGGGGCTCTTTGGAGGGTTTTTCCCCTCTAACAGGCTTAGTTCCTCCCTTTGTGCCTGGCTGCCGGGCTGAGCTCTGCTCCTCTCTCCTTGGGGCAGGTCTGGAGCTGAGCAGAGGGATGGGCAGTGCCAGCCCCGGGCTGCCCACTCTGCCCCACGGCCGCCTGGCCTGGCCGGACCCCGCGCTGCTGCCACCCCCGCGGGACCCCCAGCCCCGCAGCTGGGGCTGCCCGGAGAGCCCCAGCCCCCCCAGCACCCCCGAGCAGCCCCTGCCTGCCTTCTGCCTGCACTACTTCGACATGCTCTACCCCGAGGACACGGCCTGGGCCACCAAGGGCACCGGGGAGGTGGCCCAGAGCAGCGGCCAGGGCGGGCGGGAGGAGGCGCGGAAGGAGCCGGAGCAGTGTCCCATCATCGACAGCCAGGGCCTGGGGCTGGGGCCCGACGGGGAGCTGCAGGACAGCCTGCACCTGGAGGAGGTGCAGAGCATGGTGCTGGGCGAGGTGCTGAAGGACATCGAGACAGCCTGCAAGCTGCTCAACATCGCCGCAGGTGGGTGTCCCGGGGCTCTCCTGGGGCTGGTGGGCTGATGGGATGGCGTGGGAGCCAAAGCCACGCTGCATTTGGGGGGCTGCAGCCACATGTGGGGGTCTGGGGCAGTGTGGATGCTCCACACCGGATGGGGGAATGGTTCCTGAGAGGCTGGAGCCGCGTGTGAAGGTCTGGGGGAGAGTCTCCACCAGAGGAGGGAATGGTTCCTGAAGGGCTGGAGCCGTGTGTGAGGGTCTGGGGGAGTGTGGATGCTCCACACCAGAGGAGGGAATGGTTCCTGAGGGGCTGAAGCCGTGTGTGAAGGTCTGGGGCAATGTAGATGCTCCACACCAGAGGAGGGAATGGTTCCTGAGGGGCTGAAGCCGTGTGTGAAGGTCTGGGGGACAGCAGCTGCTTCACATCGGAGGAGGGAATGGTTCCTGAGGGGCTGGAGCCACATGTGGGGGTCTGGGGGAGAGTCTCCACCAGAGGAGGGAATGGTTCCTGAGGGGCTGGAGCCACACGTGGGGGTCTGGGGGACAGCAGCTGCTCCACACTGGAGGAGGGAATGGTTCCTGAGGGGCTGGAGATGTGTGTGAGGGTCTGGGGCAGTGTGGATGCTCCACACTGGAGGAGGGAATGATTCCTGAGGGGCTGGAGCCGTGTGTGAAGGTCCGGGGCGGTGTAGATGCTCCACACCAGAGGAGGGAATGGTTCCTGAGGGGCTGCAGCCACATGTGGGGGTCTGGGGGAGAGTCTCCACCAGAGGAGGGAATGGTTCTTGAGGGGCTGCAGCCACATGTGGGGGTCTGGGGGAGTGTAGATGCTCCACACCGGAGGAGGGAATGGTTCCTGAGGGGCTGGAGCCGTGTGTGAAGGTCTGGGGGACAGCAGCTGCTTCACACTGGAGGAGCGAATGGTTCCTGAGGGGCTGGAGCTGTGTGTGAAGGTCTGGGGCAGTGTGGATGCTCCACACTGGAGGATGGAATGGTTCCTGAGGGGCTGCAGCCACATGTGGGGGTCTGGGGCAGTGTGGCTGCCACATGGGAGGAGGGGACAGCCACACTCAGCCCCGTCCCCCCCAGACCCCATGGACTGGAGCCCCGGGAATGTGCAGAAGTGGATCTTGTGGACGGAGCACCAGTACCGGCTGCCGCAGATCGGGAAGTCCTTCCAGGAGCTGTCGGGGAAGGACCTGTGTGCCATGTCCGAGGAGCAGTTCTGCCAGCGCTCGCCCGCCTGCGGGGACATCCTGCACGCCCACCTCGACATCTGGAAGTCCGGTGGGTGCCGGGGAGCGGGAGGGAGCTGGGGAGGGTGGGCGATGCTGTGCCCGGGAGATGCCCCCCTGATGCCCCCTCCTCCCTTCCAGCCGCCTGGATGAAGGAGAAGGCTGCCCCGGGAGATGGGAGATACTGCGGTGAGTTCTGTGTCCTGCGTGGGGCAGGTCCGGGGTACCTGAGGGGTACCTGAGGGGTCCCTGAGGGGTACCTGAGGGGTCCCTCCCGGCTCCTCTGCAGTTCCCAGAGCAGCTGCTGCTGTGGGATGTGTGCGGCTGCACTCGCTCTGCAAAATCCAGCGAAGGGGAATGGCTCGATCCCCTCACTGCCCCTGTCCCACAGCCCTGCGGGTGCGCTGAGCTGCTCTCCCTGCTCCAAGATAAGGAGGGGAAAGCAAATCTCCAGTCCCAGAGCGCCGGAGACCCTCTGGCATCGAGCGGGGCTCCCGCTGGGGACTGGAGCATCTCCCTGGGATGGTGCGGGCAGCGAGCTCCGTCCCTTCCCTCTCTCAGCGTCCCTTCCCGTGGCAGGAGGTGACACCGGCTGGGCCGACAGCGAGGTGGACTCGTCCTGTGCCGGCCAACCCATCCACCTCTGGCAGTTCCTCAAGGAGCTGCTGCTGAAGCCGCACAACTACGGCCGCTTCATCCGCTGGCTCAACAAGGACAAAGGTGGGTGGGGATGCTCCAGAGGCCCCGGGGCGGGCGCTGGGTGGGCAGAGGTGGGGCAGGAGATGCTGTAACCCTCCGTGCCCGCTCCTCTGCCAGGCATCTTCAAGATTGAGGACTCGGCGCAGGTGGCCCGGCTGTGGGGCATCCGCAAGAACCGCCCGGCCATGAACTACGACAAGCTGAGCCGCTCCATCCGGCAGTACTACAAGAAAGGGATTATCCGTAAACCCGACATCTCCCAGCGCCTCGTCTACCAGTTTGTCCACCCGGTGTGAGCGGCGGCGGGACCGGCTGAGCGCCGGGAGGTACCGGGGGACCTCGGCTGCCTCCCTCTGCCCCAGCCACAGAGAGCCCCTGCCAGCAGCAAGGACCTTGGCTGCGGTGCGAGGCTTCCCCTGCCAGGACCTGTCGGACACAGGGAGCTCCTCACCGCCAGCAGGACCGTGCAGAGCCCTGGTTCCTCACGGGAAGGGTGGGCACGGTGGTTGGGCTTGTCCCAAATCCTCTCCTCCCTCCTGGGTTCTGGCTGTAGGTGGCTTCACCCCAGCCATTGTTCAGGGAGGAAAAGTCCGGGGCATGAACTGAGACAATGGCACCCACAGGGACACCCACAGGGACAGGGACACCCACAGGGACAGGGACACCCACAGGGACACCCACAGGGACACCCACAGGCACAGGGACACCCACTGCTGCTCCCGGTGGGCTCCTGTCCCAGTCCCTGTGGGAGCAGCCTGGCACCAGCCAAGGGTGCTGCCTGCCATGGGAGCTGTGCCAACAGGACCTTGGGCACCCCCTTGGCACAGGTGCATCCCCCTTTTGCTTTTCACTCCAGGACATGCTCAGCTGCTCCCTTTCACAGGGATTCGGGGCTGCAAACGGGAGTTCTGCAAAGGGAGCAGCTGTAAATGTGGTGTGGGGCTGTGTACAGTGGGGGTCCCCCAAGCTGGGTCCCCCCATCCTTGTGCACAGGGTCACAGAGTCCTCCTAAGACCCCCAAGTTCTGTGCCTTGGCACAAAGCTCTTCCCTTGGTTTGGATTTCACTTGGACTGCCTGATTCTGGAGTTTGGGGAAATGGAGATGGCAGCTTTGCCATTTCCCTCTGGACAATAAATCCAGATGTGATCCGCCGAGCTGGACTGGGGCAGAGAGCTGGGAATTGCTTCACCTGCTCATTGCACCAGAGTCACCTGGCAATGTTCATCTTTTATATTATAGGGTTTTTTATTTGGTTATTTGCTTTTCAGTTTTGGCTGGTGATGAGTTGTGGTTTAGGTTCAAATGCCGAGGGTGGCCCGGGCTTCCAGGGATGTTCTGTGGGAGCTAAAAAGGAAAAACATCTGGGTCTTGGTCTCTTGATTTTTTTTCCTTTAAAAAACCCGCTGGTGCCAGTTCCTGCCTTTCCTTTCTGTCCTTGCTCTGTGCTGGATGCAGACAGCCCTGCTCCCATCCTGGCAGGAGGGATGGAGGGCAGCGAGGAGCAGGGGAAGGAGGAAAACTCCTTTGGAAAAGGGAGCAGAAAAGCAAAAAACAAACAAAAAAAAAAAGCAAAGCATGTCTTGTGATTTGCTGTGAGGACTGTGGGGGTGCAGGTGGTGCCCCAGGTCCTGTGTCCCCCTCACAGGTCCCCTGGCAGGGTGTGGGGGCAGGAGGTGACATCAAGCTGCTTTCAGAGGCTCAGGAGAGCGCCCCAAAACCTGCATCACCTCGAGCCCCACCGTGGTGTCCCCAAGGCTTCATCCAGCAGTGGCACAGGAGTCCCCAAAGGCAGTGGCTGCTCCCCTTGTCCCCCAGCAATGCATCCAAGCCCCCATCCTGCTGCACCCCAAAACTTTGGGGTGGGGGTGTCGCTACCTGGGGGCCCACAACCACCTCAGCCGCCCCCCCGGGGGTGGGACAGACGCACAGCAAAGGAGACCCCAGAGCCAAGGACGCTGACAGAGCTCGGTTATTTTCTCTTGCTGCTTTTTGTTGTTGTATCCACGGAAATACAATCACGAGAGATATATATATTATATATATACTTCTTAAATTACACAATCAATGTACAAAAACCGGGGTGCATTGCTGAGACAGGTGGTTGGTTGGGTCTTTTCTGACTTTGTGGGTGGTTTTTTTTCCGGTACCCGGCAGGGGCTGGATGGCTCCTGCCCGCCGTGCCCAGCACACGGTGCTTCCCCTGCATCCACGGGAACATTGGATCCCTGGGGCCAAAAATTCACGAACCAACGGAGGGGGCAGGATAGGAGCAGGAGGAGCGTGCGGGAAGCATTGGTGCTGCTAAGGGTGATGGTATGGAAAGAAATGAGAGGTGATCTGTAGGGAAGAGCTCGGGATGGCAAACGCAGCAGGAGTGGGGTGGGGTGGCCGTGCTGGGGGCCAGGGCAGAGCCCAGGGGAGGAGGGGTAGAGCTCCGTGGCCATTCCCCTGCCTTGATTTCGGCCTGGGCTGCATCCTGAGCCCTCCTCCTGCAGCTGCAGCTCCTGCAAGGCCGGAGGATGCTCAACCCCCATCCCTGCTCTGCTCCTGCCTCCCTGCAGGAAGGAGAGGGTGGGGACCGTCCCCAGCAGTGCCCAAGGCAGTCCTCGCTATCCCAGGCTGGGCATGAAGGTGCTTCCAGCAGCACCCGGCCCTGGTGGCACCTTCTCCGGACAGATTTTAGGATTTTTCTCCTAAAATCTCCGCTGGATTTTAGGGCCACCTCACCTGGATCTGGTGTGCGTTGGGTACTGCCCACCCGAAGGGCGATGCTGCTCCCTGCAGCACAGACCGGGCATGGGCTCGGGAGCCTCAGCCCGCTCCATGAGCACCGACAGCCCAGCTGGGAGGAGGAGGAGGAGGAGGAGGAAGCTGAGGAGATGCCAGCAAGCTCCACGGCCGGGCTGGTCCCACCTCACCTGGGCATCTCAAGGATGGCCGCGGGGCTGAAGGGGACATTCAAGAGGATGAACGGGGGAGAACATGGAAACACCAAAAAAATAACCAACGGAGTCAGACTCCAATCCCTCTTGGTTTTCTGGGATGAATTTGGTTGGTCCCAGGAGCTTCGGCGCCGTGCGTTTCGGAACAGTTCCAGCCAATCAGAAGGCGGCTCATGATTTCAGTATCTTTAAAAACCAACCAATCAGGAGCTCTCACTGGTTGGGATTTAAGATCTTGAGGTATCGGCTTTTCGCTCAGAAAAAAAAAAAAAAAAATTCAACTAACGTAGACGAACGGACAACGTCATCTTTCGCTTCACGTTATCTTAGAAGAAAGCGACTATGCAAAATACTCTTCGGAGACAACTCTTAAAAAAATAAAAGCTTGGTCGGAAAATATGTCTGAATCTCTAAGGGTGAGGAGTGAAGGACCAGACGGCAGAATGGCTGGTTGGCTGGTGGAGAGATGGAGACAACGGAGGGTGGATTTATCTGCTGACGGTGACGAGGAGCACACCACAAGACTTAGATTGCCTCCACGTAGTTGGCGGGGTACAGCCCCAGCTGCCCGTTGTCCAAGCGCCCTTTGCACCACCCCTGCTCGTCTTCCTCACCGAGTTTGGTTAGTTCATCACCTGAAGAGGAAGGTGGAAGGGAACAGCTCATTGCAGGGGCTGGAGATTCTCCCACCTCCCTTTTCTCCCTGGGATGGAGCTGCTGGGGGTTTGCAGGACTCATTCTGGGCACACCAGTTTGTAGGATAGAAAGGCAAGGGGTGACTGATGAGCCCCCATGTGCCCTGTCCCTTCCCACTGCTCCTGTCCCTCCTGCATTTGGGCTCAGCTTCTGCCTTCCCCTTTCTTTCACTTCAACTCTTCGAAGGGCTGGGCCAACTCAGAAACACCTGAGGGATTTCACACCCACAGCTCCAACAGACGAGCCCCATCCTACCTGCCAGTGGCAAGGGACCGTACCTGCTTTGAAGCTGAGCTCATCCTGCTCCTGCCCGTCGTAGTCGTACAGCGCCCGCACCCTCACGCCCTTCCCCGCCGACTCCTCGTCGAAGGGGTTGGCGCCGCCGTTGGCCTCGCTGGCGTTGAAGGAGTTGCTGCCCTCGTCGTCGGACCACTCGGCACTGTAGGTCTGCCCGCGGTCGTGGCTGCTCACGCTGCCAGGGGGATGAGAGGGAGGGGTGGCTGTCACCGAGGTCACCCCGCATCCCCAAATCCTTGCAGAGGCAAAGGTAGTGCCTCTCACCATCTCCCCTTCACGCCGGGCCTCACCTCCCGCGCTCGCCCGCCTGAGCCCCCGCGTCGCCCGCGCTGCCGGCGTTGCTCAGGGCCGCCCCCTCGCCCTTCTTCTGCTTCTCCTTCCTCGTTATCGTGTGCGTCAGGTCCGGGTTCCACTCCTGCAAGCACAGAGCGATGCTGAGTGCCCCGCTGCCCGCAGAGCTGCCAGCACCCCGCCAGGGCGCCCGGCCTCACCTCAAACTGGGGCCAGTTCATGGGCATGCCGGGGCCGCTGGTGCTGCGGAACCACCGCAGGTCCTCCTGCGCGTCCGACATGCGGATGGTCTGCTCCAGCTCCCGGTACACGTTGGCGTAGCTGCGGGCAGAGACGTGGTTGGGGGGCTGCGGGTCAGGGTGGGACAGGGACAGGCTGTGTGTCCTCCTCTAGGATCCCGCACAGCCTCCTGCCACTCTGGTACCTCTTGGTGACCATGGTGTTGGCAGAATTCGCTGCCCCTACCTGCTGCTCTCGGCCAGGTTCAGGTGTCTCTTGATGTCCAGCAGCATTTCCTTGAGGAAGTTGAGCCTCTTCTCCTCGAACTGCTGGCACTGCTCGAAGACCTGCTCCATGCTCTCGATGTACTGCGGGGTGCACTTGTTCAGCTCGTCCAGCACCTTCTCGTACTTCTCCTGAGTCTGCAAAAACAGGAGGGACCCCGGTAGTACCTCGAGCACCTCAGAGGCTGTTTCTGGGTGCTGAGAGGTCTGGTTTGGGGTTCACCAGAGCAAGGGAGCCCAAATTGAGTCTGGAGCCTCAGTGGGTGGAATCAGCCCCCATTAGTGGGGTAAATCCCTGCCCAGCTCACACTCCCCTGAGCACTGCCTTCAAGTCCTTATCCTTCTCCAGGAGCACAGGGATGGGAAAATGGGAACTGATGGTGGAGAAAGGGATGTGGTGGCCATCTCCACTGGTTTCCCTTGCTCAATACCCCATGCATACAGCACAGGGCAGTGCTTCACACCTTTTGCACGTCTTGCTTGCACTTTTCCACTTTGTCCTGGAGCTTCTTCTGCTGCTCAGGAGTGTTGGACTGATCCGCCTTGCTGTTGGCTTCGCGGGTCATGGCCAGCTTCTCCTCCTTGCAGGCCAGGTGATAGGCCTTCTTGGCTGTCTCCAGCTGTGGGGAGGACAGGGAAGCGACATCAGGGCAGTGGTCACAAACCCCTGCCAACCCCTCTGCCTGTGGGGAGGTGCCACGTGTCCCTCCCAGCCCGGACTGGGCACACAGGGCTGCCCCAGGGCACTCTGTGCTTCTCTCACCTCCTTGAGCTTCTTGGCCCAGGGCTTCTGGGCTTTCCGGAACCCATCCTCAGCTTCCTTGGCCTCCTTGAAGCCCCCCATGATCTGCTTGTGGTAGGCGTCCTTCTGCCAGTTCTTGACCTTCTCGAAGTCGTCGTTCAGGAGGCTGTTCTTCACCTCCTGGTGCAGCTCGCTCACCTTGTCCGCCTCGGTCATGATCGCGGCCCACGCCTTCTCCAGGCTGCCATACTGGGGACCTGGGGGCCGAGGGGACAGCTGGGGGTCACCCACTGCCCTTACCCCCCTGTTTCTGCCAGGTGAGGCTGTGGTTGGACCCAGGTGTCCTGGGGAAACCCTGGGGAAAGCCACGGTACCTTTCTCGATGAGCTGCCTCCACCGCTTGGACCAGTCGGTGAGCTGCTGGGCGTAGGACTTCTCGATCTTGGCCCGCTCGTGCACGCAGTTCATGAGGTCGTTGCAGAGCCGGTGCCCGTCATCGATCCGCTTCACCGTGCGCTTGTAGTTCCCCACCTGGGATGGGCACGGGGACAGGCAGGTGTGGGGGCCGTGACCACCCTGCCTGCCTCAGCCCCTGGGGGGGCTACAGGGGGAGCACCAGGCAATTTGGGGGTGTGGGGAGGGAGTTTTGGGTCCCCAAACCCAACTCCCTCCAACCTCTCTGTTACTGAGGGACAGCCAAGATGAGCCCTTTGGCTCAGACACGGGGCCAGCGCAGCAGGGATGCTCTCAGGCAGAGGAGGGAGGGCAGCCCCCAGCCCAGGGGACACCCCGGGGTGCGGTGACAGTGGCAGTGGGGTCTGTGGGAGGACAGGGTGGCGGGACTCACCTCCCAGAAGCTGTCGGTTGTTTCCTCGGTGGCCGATGCCGACTCGTCGTAGGAACCCGACATGGCTCCCGGCGCTGCCTCGGGCGTCAGAGCAGGCGCTGGGGGTTTCCTGGGTGAACAGCAGCCTCATGCACTGAGGGGACAGGAGAGGGGAGTCACGGGGGGTGCAGGGGACCCCCATTCCTCCTGCCAACAGCTCTGTGGGACAAGCATCCACATACAGGGGACAGTGCCCGCTCCAGCTCTGCACCTACTGGCTCCTCCAGTGCCCACCACCCACTTGGTGCCATCCAAACAGGTGCTGGAGGGAATCGTGGGCAGCAGCACAGTGGGCGCTCACTGGGCACAGCCTGGCTCAGCACTGGCAGCCGCTGGGCGAGGGGCCGTGGCAGGGTCAGGGGATGCACCACCCAAGAAATTCTGGTGCTGATATCCCACCCTAATCCATCCTGATCTTCAGAAAAACGGCATCCCCGGAGCGCCACGAGGCCCCACTGCAGGGCTCAACCCTTTGTTGTTGTGCCAAGAGCTGGGAGGGGGCTGGTGACTGAGGGTGGCACTGCACAGGGACAGAGCAGGGCTGTGGTGGACATTTCCCAGGTGTCCTCCTCATCATGCCCACCCCGAGCTGGATTTGGACAGCCTTTCCACAAGAAAGCACTGGGCCTATCCTGCATGGCATCTGCCACCAGGATGGGGACAAGGTGGCCATGGACAGCTCCAGTGTCCTCCTGCCCTGTCCCCAAAAGGGCATGGGAGAGGTGTGGCTGTGACCCTCACACACCATCCCTTCCTTGGGGAGGTGGAATGGGCAGAGGGCTGGGGGCTGGGGGCACAGGGTCTGTGGGGAGCACTGGTGAGTGCCCACGCTCTCCAGCTGTGCCCACAGCTGGCCCTGAGGTGCCCCCAGGCCGGGGCAGGGCACGGCCCCAGGAGCACAGGGACCTGAAACAGTTACTGGAGCGCAGCACAGGGCTCGCTGTGCTGGAAGTAACAGGGCCCGGCAGGGATTTAGTGATATAACCAGGGAGGCACCAATCCCCTCCACCCTCCCCAGACGGTTAAAAATAAACGCGTGACTGTCCCTCGCTCAGCCGCCCAGACGCAGACGGAGGGGGCACAGCAGCATCCCCCCGCAGCTGGCAGCACGCAGCGCCCGCGCCTGCCTGGCACCCACAGCAGCGCCACCACCACTGCCACTGCCTGGCACCCACAGCACCATCACTGCCACTGCCTGGCACCCACAGCACCAACATTGCCACTGACTGGCACCCACAGCACCAACATTGCCACTGCCTGGCACCCACGGCACCGCCACCATGCCTCCTAGCACCCACAGGGCCACTGTGCCTGGCACCCACAGCACCAACACTGCCACTGCCTGGCACCCACGGCACTGCCACCACCACTGCCTGGCACCCACAACACTGCCATTGTCCTTGGCACCCACAGGGCCACTGTGCCTGGCACCCACGGCACTGTCACTGCCACTGCCTGGCACCCACAGCACCATCACTGCCGCTGCCTGGCACCCACAGCACTGCCACCACGCCTCCTAGCACCCACAGGGCCACTGTGCCTGGCACCCACGGCACCACCACCGCCATTGCCTGGCACCCACAGCACCAACACTGCTGCTGCCTGGCACCCACAGCATAGCCACTGTCCTTGGCACCCACAGGACCACTGTGCCTGGCACCCACGGCACCATCACTGCCACTGTCTGGCACCCACAGCACTGCCACTGTCCTTGGCACCCACAGTGCCACCACTGCTCCTGCCTGGCACCACAGCACTGCCACCGCTGTCCCCACCCCAGCACCCACAGCCTGCCCTGGCACACCTGCAGTGGTGACAGAACACCACCTGGTGTGGTGGCACAGCCCCAGGGGACCCCGCAGGCACTGCGTGCATCGTCCCCCCGTGACAGCCACGGGCACCGTGCAGTGCCCAGGTCTTGTGCCCCTGGGTTTTGCTGCAGGGGCTGCGCTGGCACGGCAAGGGCACCCTCAGGGTGACAGCCCCAGCGTGCCAGGGCTGGGATGGGGACAACAGGGAGGGAGCACACCCATGGCTGGGTGTACCCCAGCACCCACGGGCACAGTGCCAGCCCCTGCTGCCCCCAGCGAGCCTCTCGTGCCACGGGGCACTGCGAAGGTGGCACCAGCAGCTCTGTCTCCAAGCCACTACCTGGTCTGAGCCGCATCCTGGGGGTTATTTTTGGCTCTGCATCACTTCCCAGCTAACGCTGCCTCCTCATCGCCACCCTCCTGCCACGCACCCCCACGCACATGTGTGTGCCCCCACCGTGCCAGGCCGCCTGTGCCACACGTGCCAGCCCCCTGCCAGCCCCTGCCAGCCCCTGCCAGCCCCCAGCCCTGCCATCACCTCGCATCAGGGCGCCGGCGGTGATGCCAGGCGCCCGCAGAGCTGCGGCGTGGAGAGCTGCCAGCCCCAGCCACGCGCTGCCACTCGGGTGCCCTCGGCCTGGGGGGCTCTGCTGTGGCCCCTCACTCCCACGGAGAAGCCACAGCGCGTTTGGCATCGAGTGACAGTGGAGTTTGTCCCAGCTCCTGCTCCACGTGCCCTTGGGCTGCTGCTCCTGCAGGAGCGGCCCCGTGTGCGTCTCTCCTGGCAGCACGTTGGTGCTGGGCACGGGCACGGCTCTCCTCAGCCTCCAGGCAGCTCCTGCTGCTGCAGGGGGGTCTCTGCCCTCCGTGGGGGCCGGGCAGTGGCCCTGTGCAGACAGGAGCTGCTGCAATGCAGAGCTGGTGCTGCTGACACCACGGGCACGGCGCGGGCACTGCCTGCACCCCCCTGGCAGAGCCGTGTCCCCAGTGAGGTGGGACAGCCCAGTCCTGCTGTCCCCTGTCCCCAGTGCTTGTTGTCCCAGAGCCAGCATCTCTCCTGCAGCCAAAAAGCAGGGATGGGGATGTCACACTGCTGCCCCTGGGCACACTGGCTGAGCCTGGTGGGTGGCAGGGGCAGGAGAGGCTGCAGAGCCCCTGGTGCAGGTTCCTCTGCTGCCAGGAGCCCCTGGCTGAGGCAGGGTGGTGGCAGAGGCACTGCAAGCAGAGGAGCACAGAGCGAAATGGTGTCCCCATGCCTGTCCCCATGCTGTCCCCAGGCAGGAGGTCCACGCCAGGTATTGCTGGGAGGGCAGTGGGTGAGTGACCCTCGCTGAGAGCACCCAGGGCAGGGGGTTCCACACTGGGAGCTGCACTGGGCTGTGGCAATCCAAGCAGGGCCTCGGGCTTTTGGCCACAGGAAAGGTCATTTGCTGTCCCTTAGCACAGGGCTGCTTGAGGGCCCTTTCCAGGGCGCAGAGCCAATGCCACCACGATACACCATTTGTGGCAAAGACAGATGGATTCAGCCAAGGAGGTCCAGAGGAGCCTGGCAGCAGATCTCCCACCACGTTCTGGGGCTGCTGTGCTGCACCCACCGAGGGTACCAGCACCCATGGGCTGCTCCCACTGCGGCCACACACGGGGCTTGAGGTGGCCACACACGGGAATTGAGGTGGCCACACATGGGAATTGAGGTGGCCACACAGAGGAATTGAGGTGGCCACACACAGGAATTGAGGTGGCCACACACAGGGGTTGAGGTGGCCACACGCAGGAATTGAGGTGGCCACACACAGGGGTCGAGGTGGCTGTGCATGGGGGGTGAAGTGGCCACATATGGGGGGGTGAAGTGGCCAAGGCATGGTGGCAGGTCCCAGGGAAAACCCGTGACACTGATGTGCATCACAAGAGGCTTTGCAGCAGCAGGAGCTGCGCCTGGTTTGCTGCTCAGTCTGACCCTCCCAGGCTGAGTGGCTCTGGGATTCCCACCCCAGGGCTGCTCCCTGTGTCCCGTGGGGCTGGGAAATGCTCCTGGGGCTGGGAAATGCTCCTGGGGCTGGTGAGGTCAGAGCTCAGGGAGCCAGGCAGTGTGGAGAGGTTTGGCTGTGTCGTGGCTGAAGCGTGGCCCCCTCCAGAGCCCACGGGGGGACCCTGTGAGGAAATGGTTCAGTGGGTGCTGCTGATTCACGCTGGCAGCTCCGCAGCAGCAGAGCCCGGGGCTCGGGGCTGAGCAGCCTCAGCACCCATCCTGCCCCCTCGGCATCAAACCAAGCCCAGGGCCAGCCAGGGGGGGAGCCTGGGCCCTTCTCCATGGCAGCAGGCTCTTGTAGGGTCCCTCCTGCATTCCCTGGCAAAACCCCTTTGGCTGCAACATGAGCAGGGCTGGAGCTTTGGGCAAAGAGCCAAAGCCAGAACGGTGGGTGATTCTCCATGGGATTGCAGCCAGAGCAGCACCGTGGGGCTGCCCAGGACCCAGCAGTGCATGAGGTGGCTGCAAGGGCAGCAGGACCCTGGAGGGGGCACGGTGGGAAACTTCTGGGAGCCACTTTTCCAAGGAATCCTGGGTGGAATGTGGCAGCCTCCTTGTTTCCATCAGGGTCATCTGCATTGATGGGGGATCCGAGGCCTGGGGACCTGCTGGACCTGTGGGGTCAGGGCTTGGGGGCTCCCCCAAAGCAGGGAGGAGGTTCAGTGACCCAGGAGCAGGACCAGAGCCTGGTGTCCTGTGCACAGACCGAGGCCACCAGGGCCCAGGTGCTGCCAGGCTGCAGCAGCCAGGGGAGCCGCATTTGCTCCAAGCCCTGGCAGAGATCAGCTTCACAGCTCTGCAGAGAGCTTCCCCTTCCCCCTGTGCTCCCAAAAACGCTCTGCTCAGGGCATCCATTAATCTTCTAGGGATTTTAGGAGCCTTGTGCAAAAATTTTGGGAAGCTTGGCATTTGCAGATAACGCGAGTGGCTCTCCAGGGGAGGCTGCAGCCCGGCTCAGGGACAGCGGATGTGCCCGGAATGCGGATGGGGAATGAGGATGGGCATCCCTGGAGGGGCAGCAGCAGCAGGATTGCCAACACCATTGCCAGCTCAGGCCTGGGGAAGGGAGATGGGCTCAGCCTCGGCTGGGGGCTCCACTGGCTGCCCAGCCCCGCAGCTCTGCCTCATCCTGCCGCGGTAAACAAGGCTGCTCCGGCACCGAGGGGGATTCCTGCGCTCCCGGGAGCCGGGCTCAGGCAGAAATCCAAAGATGAGGCTTGCAATTAACGCAGAAGCGGCAAATAGGGATGGTGGAGGATATGGCAGTGCCATCCCCCTGTTTCTGCACCGGGGAGGGGAAACGGAGCTCCACGCGCTGCCACGGGGGTACTGTCCCCGTCCCCAGAGCCTCGTGGGGATGGACCCTGAGCCGGGGGCCACAGGAGGCAAATGGGGCTGCTGGGGGCAGGAGAGGCGGAGGGACAGAGGAACTGCAGCTCTCTGTGCTGGGGAAGCAGACTTGGAGTCAGAGGGGACAGGAAAGTGGGGAGATTTTGGGGGGGGGCAGCAAGGGAGAAGCTGGGGTGACACTGCTGAAAAGAGGGGGTTCAGCGATGGGGTCAGGGGTTTATTTGGGCAGGGGGACAGCGATGACAGGGACAGCACAATTCACCCCATTATTTGTAGCTGGGGAAACTGAGGCACAAGCCCGTGAGTGCGGCAGCATTGCAGAAGGGGCGTCCCTCTCCCCTGCACCCCACTGGACACACGGAGGGGGTGAAGGTCATACACCCCCCAACCTCCGGGGCTTGCAGAAGGGATCAGGGGACATCATATCCTGCCAGGAGGGTACAAAGCTATGCCCCACTGCCCGGTCCTTGCACAGCAACCCCCCTGCCGTCCCCCCATCCCCGCAAGGCACCGGGCATCCCGCACCCCATCCCCGCAAGGCACCGGGCATCCCTCACCTCGTCACCGCAGTGGCCCCGGTTGTCCCCGCGGGGGCCGCGCTCACCTGCCGGGGGCCGGGGGGGCCCGGGGCCGGGGCCGGGGCTCCGCTTCTCCGCTCCGCTCGCTCCGCTCCCGCCGGGCAGCGGCGGCGCGCACGGCCGCGGGGACGCGCCTGCCCGAGCCGCCCGTTGCCGTGGCAACCGGGATGGAGCCGCTGCTGCGAAAAATCATCCGGGAGGGGGGGAGAGGGAGAATGGACCCCCCCATCCCCGCGTCCGCCTTCCGCATCCCCGCCAGCCCCCGCAGGACCCGCCGGCCCCACAGCCTCACCCAGGGCACCCACCGGGGCCGCCCCACGGCGGGGGCACAGCCCGGCAGGGTGGGTGCCACGGCCACGCAATGGTGGGGTCGAGCCCCGGGCTCTGTTAGGACCTAATCGGACTCGTTCCCCCCTGGCCATGAGGCGGGGGGATCTTTGGGGACCCCTCCGGGCTCCTGGTCCTGCCACGCCGGGGGTCGTTGGGACAGAGCTATGCACTCCCTCCGCTGCTACCCTGGCCTCTCTGTCACCCCCGCGGTTGCAGGGGGGTTTTGGGGCTGAGCCACAGCTTTTGCAGGAACAAACACCCCAAAACGCCTTCGGAGAGGCAGCCGGTGCCGCCTCCTTGCCAAATGTGCCAGCTGGGAACAGGCTGGCAAGAGAATCAGGAACAGTCTTTTCCCCCCCCGGCAGGGTTGGGGAAGGGGGTGAGGGGGCTGCAGCCCCCAAGGCTTCTTGGAGGGGAGCAGGGCAGCTCCCCCTCGCTGCCATCTGCCCATCTGCCTCCTCCCAAGCCCCGGGGCTCATACCCGGGCTCGGGGATGGGAGTCCCGGGGGCAGAGGGGGCTGGAAGCCGTCGGGAAGCAGGCAGGATGCGGGTGGGGGTGATGACAGGCTCCCCGACACTGCGCCCGCATCCCCCCGCTCGCGGGAGATGTCAGGGAAATTAAAAGGCAGCAGGAGACGAGAGCGTCCAGGCGAGTAACCGAAGCCGCTGCAGAAGCCGCAGTAATGAGGCTGCGGGGCCGCCGCCGCCGGGATCGGGTTGCCCGGAGAATGCGACCCGGTCCCGGGGGGCTCTGCCGGCTCCGAGGCCGGCTCAGCTTTCCCCTACCAAGCACCTTCGAGTGCCTAATGAAGCTCGGTGGGGCCCTGCAGCAGCTCCGTGCCACCCGAGCCACCCCCAGCAGGGCCAGGCAGAACGGCCCCACGAGGGTTTCACCCCAAAGAGGAGTGGGATGGACGCTGGTTCCTTCAGGAGTGGGGGATCTTGGCCTGCTGGCCTTCAGGGGGTGCTGAATATCTGGTCATGGTCTTTCCAAGCAGTGAGTTGGCACGGGGTCACCAGCGGGATGTCCCAGGTGCCATCTGCCCTGGCAGCATCCCTGCTGCAGAGGGGAAATGTCCTCGGCATTAGCAGGTGACAAACGCTCTCCAGGATGGTGATGAGGGACCTCAGTGACTCGGGGGGTTCCCCAGTGCAAAGAGCCATCGCCACCAGCTCTGTGCTCTGCGCAGGTGGCACCAGCTCAGGTCTCCTTCCCTGCAGCTTGGGCTGCTCCATGCAGGGAGCGGGTGGGAGCTCTGCCTCCTCAGCTCCTTCACCAAAAACTCGGTCACGACAAACTCTTCCCCGGCTCTCACCATCCCACCGTTTACTGTTTTCAGTGGTAAGTCACTTCTCCTCCTGTAAATGAGTTTCCTTGTGGGAAGCAGCAGACGGTATTGGCAGGAAATAAGCTCTGATTTATGGGGCCACTTGCTGCTCTGGAATTACAGCTCCGTGAGCACAAACGCAGCACACGAGCCCACACCGTGATCCCGGCGGCTGCTGCAGCCAGAGCAGGCAGGAATGAAGAGATGCCACCAGCAATCAGCCGCCTGCCCATCAGCCAGGCAGGAGCGCAGCCCTCGCAGGAACCGGGGGGGGTTTCAGCCCAGCCAGCAAGGAAGGGAAATGTGTTCCCTAAATCCCGGCAGAACCCCGAGCTATGGGGCTCAGCTGCTCCTGGGAGAGCCCATGGGCGGTCCAGGGAAGACTGGTGTGGATGGGGGCAGAGGGAATGCAGGATCCCGAGCCCATTCCTGCCCCACGCTGCCTCCTCCCAGAGCAGTGGGGCTTGGGGGGCCGGATGGGGCCAGCACCCCACGCTCGCCCCATGCCCGGCCTGCATCGCCCCATGCCCGGCCTGCATCGCCCCATGCCCGGCCTGCATCGCCCCATGCCCAGCCTGCATTGCCCCATGCCCGGCCTGCATCGCCCCATGCCCAGCCTGCATCGCCCCATGCCCGGCCTGCATTGCCCCATGCCCGGCCTGCATCGCCCCATGCCCGGCCTGCATCGCCCCATGCCCAGCCTGCATCGCCCCATGCCCAGCCTGCATCGCCCCATGCCCGGCCTGCATCGCCCCATGCCCGGCCTGCATCGCCCCATGCCCAGCCTGCATCGCCCCATGCCCAGCCTGCATTGCCCCATGCCCGGCCTGCATCGCCCCATGCCCGGCCTGCATTGCCCCATGCCCGGCCTGCCTCGCCCCATGCCCAGCCTGCATCGCCCCATGCCCGGCCTGCATCCCCGCTGCGGATGTGCCGCCGGTCCCAGGAATACAAGAGCTACTTTGCATCTCTAATTAGCCGCGGAGGATAATTGCTGGCTCTGCGGCAGACAGGCAGCCATTGTGGAGGGCCCTGAGTGGGGCAGGTGCTCCCAGAACCCCAAATCCCACCGAAACAATTCCCTTCTTGTCCGCCTGGGACCGGCCGGGGCATCCTCCGAGCCCTGCCGGGGAAGGGGCTGGGGCAGGGATATAAAGGCTCCATTTTTCCAGGGAAGCAGGCTGTGGGCAGCTGCCCGAGGAGCCCACACATTCCACCCACGGTCACAGCCCTGCTGGACACGGCCCCTGGCAGCTGCCGGCCCGGAGGCGGCTTCTCCTCCTCCAGCACCATCCACAGGAGCTCAGCAGCTCTGGAGTTTGCCTTCAAGGTGTTGCACAAATGCCACCCAGGCTGGCATCCCCGGGACAAAGTCTGTCCTTGGGCAGAGCTGTGCCAGGCGCTGTGCTGTCCCTGTGCCATCCCTGTGCCATCCCTGTGCCATCGCTGTGCCCTGGCAGGGACTGGCACAGCTGGGGACAGGCCATTCCCAGCCAGGGGATCCCACAAAGAGCCCAGCCCAGGCCCTGCTTGGTGGTGACACGCTTTGCTGATGTCCCTTCCCTCGTGTCCCTGCCCTGTGCACGTCACTGTCGGTCCCTGCCTGTGCTGGGCTCTCTTCCCTCAATCCTTTCCCGGTTCAATCCCGGTCCTGCCGCAGCCCCTCCGGCCCCGGGAGAGGACAGAAAGCAGCCAGGGGGGCACAGATCAGTGCAGACCCCGGGGCAGGGCAGCACCGCCGGCTTTATTCTCGATTTTCTCTGTGCTCCTGCAAAGGGAACACAAAACCCCAGCAGCTGGCAGGACCCTCAGGGTGTCAGTGTCCCCTGGCAGCAGCAGCGGCTGATTTTGCCGTGCTGTGGCCGTGGCCTTTGGCTTAGGGATGGGGTTTGTGCGGGGGCCGAGGGATGCGGGGAGGCTGCCGGGAGAGCTCTAATCCGTTTAGCAAAGCACTTGCTTTGCCATTTCCACGGCGGGAGGTGCAGGAGCTGTGATCTGCTGCAGCAGCGACAGCGACAGTGACAGTGACAGTGACAGCGCAGCGTGTCCGAACCAGCGGGGACAGCTCCGGCTCCGCGGGTGTCGCAGCATCCTGGGGGTCACCCTGTGGGAGCTTCGCCCCTCCTCCGTCCCGAAGGAAGAAAGGAGGGGGTGACACCCAGCAAAGCCCCGGGACGGCCCCGGGCAGCTCCAGAGCGCGGCGCATCCCTCCATCCCTCCCGTTCCCCGCCCGGCACGGCCCGGCACGAGTCGGGGATCGCTTAGAACGGCTCGGGCACGGTTCAAACAGCGGCGGGGACAGCGCTGTCACATCGCCCCGGTGCCGGCATCCCCCGTGCCCCCCGGGCCCCCCGCCCGCCCCGCCGGCCGTACCTCGGGGCCGCGGGGACAGCGGCGGAGCCTCTCCCGGGAGCGGCGCTGCGCATCGCGGGCGGGTGGCGGCAGATGGGGCGGAGGGAGGGGGGAAAGATCAGTCGGAGATTAGGGCGGCATTTTTAGCCGACCAATCCCCGGCCCGCCGCGGCGGCTCCTCGGCCCAGGGGATGGCGATAAGCCCCGGGGCACCGGGGGTCCCTCCCGTTATCCCCCGGTCCCCCTCCGGTGCTCCGAGTGCCCGCGGGGTTCAGGACGTGTCCGCTCCCCCCGGAGCCCCAAACGGAGCGGGACGGCCCCGGGGACACCGGGGGGACACCGGGGGGGACACGGGGGGGACACGGCTCCTGTCACACCCCCCGGGCGGTGGCACAGCTTTGGGTGGCACGGGTGGGGGTGACACGGTTGGGGTGACACAGCTTTGGGTGGCACGGCCAGGGGTGACACAGCTTTGGGTGGCACGGGTGGAGGTGGCACGGGTGGGGGTGACACAGCTTTAGGTGGCACGGGTGGGGTTGACACGGGTGGGGACGGGGGGGATGGCACGGCTAGGGATGGCACGGCCGGGGGTGACACGGCCAAAGTGACACGGCTGGGGACGACACAGGTGGGGACGTGGGGGGTGACACGGGCGGGGATGGCACGGGCGGGGATGGCACGGGCGGGGGTGACACGGGTGGGGATGGCACGGCCGGGAATGGGGACGTGGGGGATGGCACAGCCGGGGCTGGCACGGGTGGGGACGTCGGGAGGTGACACGAGTGGGGGTGACACAGTGTGGGGGGGCAGCGGGTCACCCGCCGCGCCCCTCAGGCACCGCGACGGGCAGCCCGTTCCGCGGGCAGGAGGGGGCCTGCTCTCCGCGCAGGCAGCACCGCGGGCACCCCGTCCCGCCGCCGCGGGGGTCCTTGGCGCGGCGGAAGCGGCGGTCCGGCGCACGCGCAGTCCTTTCCGGCCGGGCCCCGCCGCCGCCGCCGCCACGGTGAGGCCGCGCTCGGGCCATCGGCCGCGTATCGCCGCCATCCCGGGGTCTTGGCACCCCCCGCCGCAACTCCGCCATCGGGGCTCCACGCCCCGGCTGTGCGGGGAGAAAGGGACCGGCGGCGCCGGGCCGCGGGGTGGGATTGGGTGTCC